ACTGAGGCCTGGAGTGCTCCAACGGCCTGGACGTGCGATCGGGGCTGGCCTGCGGGACGGGCGACGGCAGGGGAAGGGCTCGCGATGAACGGAAAGGCCGAGGGAGGGAGAGAGAGCGAAAGAGATCGGCGAGGGAGAGAGTGAGGGAGGGAAGAGAGGCGGCTGAAAAAAAAAAGATGAGGGGAGAGGGATGTCTTCTCCCATATATATAGCTAGGGATTGTGACTTAACCTACAAGTCACTTGCCATAATAACCCACATCACAAACAAGGAAAGAAGGGGAGGGGCGGCCGCCTAGGCGCGGGCTCGGCTCACGGGCGCGCGGTTTCGGAGGTGTTCGAACATGCTCGGTTTGAAGAAATAAAATTACAATAATAATAATCAAAATATTTAAAATAGTATTTAATATTTAAAGTAAAATACCACAATTAATATATATATAATAAACACAATTAGGCACATAAAAATTATTTAAGCATTTAGACAATTAACATTCAATAATAATAGCCACAAATAATGATAAAAATAATAATAATAATAACAATAATCCAAATTATTCATAAACGAACGGGGCGTCACACATACGCTATTGAATATTCGTTTAGCTCGACATGTCATTTCACTAGTTTACCTAAGACTGAGGGTCGACCAAGTGTCTATCCTATTGGCATGTCCGTCCGTACTCTTACCTTATGATTCAAGAAATAAGGCATCAACTTCTTCACCGTTACGACCACTGCTAGAGCACATTTCTCAATCTTCAAATACCTCAGCTCTGCCCCTTGAATCACTCGACTAACATACTAAATCGGAAACTAGGCTGTTCTTTCTCGCAGCAACACTGAGCTCACCGCAATCTCCCTGATAGATATGTATAGCACCAAATTCTCTCCTTGAACTGGTTTAGCCAACAAAGACAAGTTGGCCAATAGCAATTCCTCGAATGTTTTCTGGGCCTCCTCTGTCCACTGAAATTTTGAACTTTTTTTCAGCGTCTACTTCTCTCGGCCACTTTCGATATGAATCTCCACAAGCCTGTGGTTTGACCCATAAGCACTTGAACCTCCTTAATTTTTGTCGGTGGCTTCATCTCCACCACCGCTCGAACTTTTTTGGGGTTTACCTCAATTCCACGTTTCGTCACCAAATACCCCAAGAAGTTCCCTGACATCACACCGAATGAGAACTTAGCTAGATTAAGCTTCATGTCGTACCTCCTCAACGTCGAAAATGTTTCCCTCAAGTCCTTCACGTGATCAGCTTCCTCCTTACTCTTGGCTAGCATATCATCCACATAGACCTCCATGTTTCTACCAAGATGCTCCTTAAAAATCTTGTCGACCAACCTCCGGTATGTTGCTCTAGCGTTCTTTAGGCCAAACGGCATCACCACATAACAGTAGGTCCCCCTGTTCGTTACAAAACTCACTCGCTTCCTGTCTTCTCGAGCTAAGGGGATCTAGTGGTATTCCTGCGACACATCCAAAAGATTAAGTAATTCGCATCTTGTAGTGGAGTCGAACAGCTGATTGATCCCCGGCAACGGGTACAAGTCCTTTAAGCAGCAACCCAGCGCACGACAGCCTTCTGCTTCCTGAAATCCTCCTCCATAAAGAGACAGAGTTGGTACTCAGCGTGACAGCGGTGCATCGCAACCCAATTCTCTGGAGAAGAGTCCAGGTCATAATCTCTCTCAACATCCGCATATGCACTCTGAGCTGCAGCAAGACGCTGAGTAATGTCTTCAAAAATCGTCTAATTCCACTCTTCAGACTGAGTTGCAGTCTCCCGAGCTTCGCCTCCAAGTTGTGCATCCCGAAGAGCCCCGTCGGTTGCTGCCAAGAAGCTCTAACCGTGTCATGAAACGTGTGTTGTCAAGGTTCCCTTTGTATTTCGATACCACTTTTGCAACACCTCCCTAATTTTTACATGAATTAATAAATATACGATTTGACAACATTTATCTTTTCTCTTTAACATGTTTCACATTAAATTGGTAGAGACAATGTAATTGAACCAACAAATACGAAGATCCCATATACTTTAAAGATTCAATTAAGCTAGCTAGTTGGATAATGTGATGAAACAAACTATCAAGTTGTTGATTTTAAAGATGGTGCAATTAACGTGTAACATAATAAGATTGTGATATGCATGTGTTATATGGAAAAAAGAAAAATTATGTGATCATATTGATTTTACTGTAGCAAGATGCTTAAATTAATTCTACATATCAGACCCTCTCCAAAATTCATCACCGGACACATTATTGTCTAATCATGTGCCCACAAATTTGACTTGTACAAAACTTTTGAGTGATTCTTATGGCTTATTTTGATACAGAACTTGTGAGTGATTTTATTTGGCTTATTTTGTGATAATGATTAGACTAAGACAATGGGTCCTTGCACATGCTTAGCTAGTGACATTTTATTCCAACTTCCTTTCTTTATTACAATAACATTTTTTTTTTTTTTTCTAATTTTTTTTTTTTTTGGAGACTATCTAAAGTGGCAACACAAAGATGTTAGAGCTTCCTGGATGGAGACATCAAAGTGAATCTTCCTATACAAAAAGTCCATCACCAAAATCTTCTTTTGCATGTAAAGTTTTACTACACTCATGCATAAAGTGGGCAATCATATATCATTATTGCACATTTAGTCCAAAAGATACTCTTTCTCCAGCAAATAAAATCTATATCCAATGGCATATGCAAGAAAACACTTTTATCAACAATCTCTGAGATTATTACAAAACATGCCTCTTCAGTACAATTTTGAACATAGAATTAGAACCAGACATCAAAGGGCAGTTGAGTGTTCTGTTACTAGAACTTTATTAAGGATTAAATTTATTAACTCAATTTAACACAAAGCTACCATTATAATCTTTGAAGAACTCAAATCATGGCAAAAAAACAAATAAAAAAAAAAGAAAAGGAAAAATGAGAAAAATCATGGAAAGATCCTTTGCACTGTAT